GATCTTTACTACATCTACGGCGTTAGCGTGGGGTTGGGCTTCCCCAGGCTAATACCGGTCAGTACCCGAGTACTTATTTCCCACAACATTGTTTCTGTCGGCCTTTATTCACCATTATTGGAATGCTGAAGGTGGTCTCGATGCATGGTGTCCGCCTCGAGTGCTAGAAGTGCTGGGCTCAATCCCGGTAAGGACTGGGGGTTTTCCGGTGGACCTGGACTTCTAGTCATTCCCACTGGTCTCTGGGTAGTGAGATCGGACGCCCCTGTGCATTGTTGCGCACGTAGAAAAAATCCCTTGGCAGTTGGAAATCAAAAAGAGTAGCCCAACGGCTCTGCCCGTGCAAAGATTTGGAGTTAAAAATCTACCCAAAGTATTTCAGGATCCTCGCCTGTGCTACAGAGCTTGTGCACTGTGCTGAGCCTCTTAGGACTCTTAGGACTTGAGTTAGAAGAAGAACGGAGCACTTATAGGTTATCCTTTTGATCCGTTGTTCAAACCTTAAACCTCTATTGGAGTGCTTTTTGACTGTACCTAACGCAGTTTGTGAACTGTAGGTTCAGAAAATGGTGAGTGACCTGTTGCCACAGTACTGGGTTTGTCTTATGTAGTTAATGTTGATTGTAGAATTTAGTGTACTAGGGCGGAGGAGCCCTTAGTACCAAGAAAGAAAGAAAGAAAAATAGAGAGTAGAGAGAGTTCGTTTTGGTGGGGGAAAGATCAGAATATCTCACCAGGCAAGAAATCTTCTGTGTAAAGTCTAGTGTAGCCAAGCAACGAATCAACTAAACTAGTAAACTAACTAGAAGTCCTAAGCTGAAGAAAACAACTGTAACTATGAATACAACGTTGAACATAATTTTATTTAACTTCACATCAGCATGGCCAACAAATAACGACATTAACGACGACTACGTGCTCGACACAAATCTCAAATAAATAGCGATCTACCATCTAACTATCTCTTAGCAAGAATACAAATGAAAATCTACTTTAACCAACTGAACGTAACCCCCGCCTGGAATCGGCCAGACCACGAACGTTACCTGTGGTCGCCATACCTGCCGACCAGCCCATTGTGCAAAGCATCAGTAGCTAGGTTAGGCTGCCACAGGTTGGTCCGGAAGTCAAATAGGTCGCTGCAAGACTGAACAAAATCTTTTATACCAGCGAGCCAGATTTTTCCCCATCTTCCGTCTAACTCTATAAACTGCCAATGCTTCTCAAATGGCCGGTTGGCCATTTTCAAACCAGAATAAACCTTCTAAGATCTTTAATCTGCTGTACTGTAGTCTTCGTCGCTTCCACCCTATTACATTAGAATAGACATTATAGCACTTGGGACACTCCCATAAGCGTTCCGTCCAAATCATCAGCTGCAAGCGAAAAGTTCCAATTTATATGGCAACAGTAACTGTCTGTATATCCGTTTCCCCTTTCAATTGAGTGTTAAGCATTGGCCAGATCCTCTGGTAACTCCACACAGCGCCATTCTCCTCAGAATGAAATTATCTGTATGTACCTCCACACTGTTCACTCGCTCCCGGAAGGCCCTCAACACATCTAACTTGTCATACATCAATTCACCACTAAGTTGTGCAGAACCGGTCAGTCTATCTCCTTGCTCATTTTCCGATACACTGGCAGTACCTAGATAAAACATCCAAAGGATGCTTGCCACTCTGCAAGGAGCATGCCTGTATCCACCTATCTCAACATGCTCTGTGAGTCAGTTACAACAGGTCCTTCTGTATATATAAATAGAGAAGGCCGTGGTTACAATCACGGCATGTGTGTCCAGTTGATTCTAAAGCCAGCGAAAGGCAGCAGTGACTGCCTCCACCTCCATTCTCAAACTAAACTTTGTGATATCATATTCAAGGCTTTGCTGCACTAAGCGACCTCCATTCGCTTTTGATGTGATCCCCCGTGTAATATATTCGTCATCCCCTTGTGGGATGCAAATTTTAGCTAAAATAAAGCCACTTCCTGTATTTTGCTGGGGGCCCTAAATATAGCCGGACCTGAAATATGGCCAAACGGCTTAACGGGGTTTCCGGGACCTCTCTACGGATGATCCTCATCCGCTTGGTGGCACTCTGTGTCACCGGGTGTTTATCGCCTGTGTGATGTCCTGCTGGGGTACCCCGACCCATCTACCTACCTTTTATTCATTTTACGGTCTGAGCTGGTTTATGCAGTTTAATCATCTCGGGAATTATTTCTTATGATTCATGAATAACTCATTACGGAGATGACCCCGCCTGAGCCACAAATGTCCTTATTATCTGACAGACAGCCTTGACGGAACGCCGTGCCGGTTAATTTATCTCTTTTATGGACAGTTTTGCTAAATATGTGATTCAGGAAATATCAGAGTCCAGTCGACTTCCTGATATGTGGTAACCACTTAAAGCGGGATAAATCTGCTAGCAGACGACCGGCCGATCTTTTGATAGTTCTCTTGTGCGCGAACTTCTGCCTAGGTAAGATCTTCATATGGTAGATAGTTCTATTAGTTCTTATTTGTTTGTGTGGACTTTGACTCCACCCAAATGTCGGCGCAATTTATATATATTTATATATATTATTAGCCCCACCCCCTGTTGTCAGGGGAACCTAATATACCTTAACGGTTATAATATGTTGCACTCATTCCATATTACTGTAACGAGAAATAGTAATAGTAGTAGTAGTAGTAGTAGTAGTAGTAGTAGTAGTAGTAGTAGTAGTAGTAGTAGTAGTAGTAGTAGTAGTAGTAGTAGTAGTAGTAGTTGTTGTTGTTGTTGTTGTTGTTTGTTGTTGTTGTTGTTGTTGTTGTTTTAGTAATAGTAGTAGTAGTAGTAGTCATAGTAGTAGTAGTTGTTGTTGTTGTTGTTCTTGTAGTAATAGTAGTAGTAGTAGTAGTAGTAGTAGTAGTAGTAGTAGTAGTAGTAGTAGTAGTAGTAGTAGTAGTAGTAGTGGTGGTGGTGGTGGTGGTGTTAGTAGTTGTAGTAGTAGTAGTAGTAGTAGTAGTGGTGGTGGTGGTGGTGGTGTTAGTAGTTGTAGTAGTGGTGGTGATGGTGGTAGTAGTAGTAGAAGCAGTAGTAGTAGCAGCAGCAGTAGTAGTAGTTGTAGCAGCAGCAGTATTAGTAGCAGTGGTGATGGTGGTAGTGATAGTAGCAGCAGCAGCAGTATTAGTAGTAGTGGTGGTGGTGGTAGTGGTAGTAGCATTAGTGGTGGTAGTGATAGTATTGATGATGGTAATAATGAGGATGGTAGTAGTATAACGTATAACGCCATAGCTAGACGGCGCTGATGATGTTCCTGTGTTTAAGTCAAAATGACCGATAGCCAGCTAACCGCTAAGGCGCTGAAAGTTATTTGCTTCTAGTTAGGCTTTGCTGTTGCAAATTCCCATTCTTTGGGGCTGAGCCGACAGGTTCCGTCGCCCGGCTGCGAGTTGCATGCCTGGACTGTGGGTTTTCCTCGTGTGTGTGTGTGTGTGAGTGTGTGTGTGTGAGTGTGTGTGTGTGAGTGTGTGTGTGTGTGTGTGTGTGTGTGTACATATACATTTATTATGTTTGTGTTGTGCCCGTGGCGTGTTGTTGATTCACAAAAATGTCTGCTGGTTGATTACTTTCAGAGTATCATGTACTTTTGTGGATGTACTGCTGGCTGTCGTGACTGACCGACTGCGCCAATAATGAGCTGCAATTTCTGATCTTTGTCAAACAATAAATGCCTGGAAATTACAGATGAAAGTAGAACATTATATAAAACAATGACAAGGAGACAAAGTTCCTTGGTCATGTGATGAGAAAAGGAGAACTGGGAAATATCGTGACGACGGGAGGATCACTGGTAGAAGAGACAGAGGCAGACCAATATAAACGATGGTGGATGGATTAAAACACGGTGGCATGGAGGAATATCATCAGTGGATTTGATCCAGAACACTAAGAACCGAGATCTGTTGAGATGCACGAACGCCTGAGCTAACTGTCAAGGCACTTGATGATGATGATCTTTAGCCTTATGCAGTTGTACACTGGTTTTCAAATAAGAGAGTGGTGGATGTTTTGTGTGATTTTCACTGGCGCAAGAAGGGGGCACTTATTGGGGGGCAGTGAAGATTAACCCTTGAAAAGCTAAATCTCTCTAGTTTTTGTCATTTCAAGTCAAACTCCACCGCAGAAGATCTACACAAGTGGTTCTCAACCTTTCTAATACCGTGACCTGTCGGTGCAGTTCCTCATGCTGTGTTTACCCCCCCCCCCCCCCACCCCCCCCCCCACCCCACCCCCAACCATAACATTATTTTCGTTGCTTCTTTATAGGTTAGTTGCGTATCCTTTACAGGAAGTTGCAGAACCAACCCCAACAACCCGTGGCTGTTGTGTGGTTTTTCTTGGCAAATTTACGTCCAGTAGTTTGCCATTGCTTTCTGGACGCTCGGCTTTCTTGATACCACTGTCGAAACCAACGCAAGGCGCAGGGCCCGCGGCTGGGATCGAACCCGCCATCCCGGCATTACGAAGCGTTCGCGTCGACTTAGCCACAGAGCCGACGCTTCTTTATAACTTCAGTGAATATGTTTCCTTATAGTCTTAGTAATAAAGTAAATGACCCTTTTTCACGCCTTTAGGCGTATATGGCATATAGGGCTAGACCTATATTTGATAGACCAATCGGCATAAGATGGGTTATGTGGTCAGCATCACGCCGGCCGCCTTTACTTCCCTGGACTGCGCCTGGTACCCACTCAAAACTGGGTTGACCTGAAAGCCAAGGTCATTTTTGAAAAAAGTCCGGCTCCGCCAGGGAGCGAACCCACGACCTTCCGATCCCCGCGAGCGTCTCGCCGCTCCGCCACGGCGACTCCCAATGGTCTTAGGCGAGCCGTGTGAAAGGTTCCTTCGACCCCTAAAGGGTCGTTTGACCCCCCAAATATATAATATGTTGATCCATTTTGTCCATGATATCCTGCAGCTGAGAACATGCCTGAACTCACACCAGTCATGCTGCAGCTTCTAGTGCTATCCTTCTTTGGAGGAGCCTGTGCGTACTATCCCAGAAGCCTCAACTTGAACTTCCTGTGTACTCCGCTCGACACGACCATGTACGTTAGAGATATTCCCTGGGACTGCTCCAGTTACGTCATCTGCCTCAGTGGTCAGGTGGGTTGATAATTGTTTCTGATTGACTGACTTGCTGACTGACTGAATGTCCTATTGACTGATTAACTTGTTTCAGTCCCAGAACTTTTCGCAGCAGTTACCTTAAGGACAGAAATAACTATTTAAAAAATCATTACATAAACTTCAAATGGGGAAACCGCAAATGACAGGTTTCTTTAGTATTCTATGGCCAAATGCAGAGAGTTTCAGAACACATTGGGTTATGTTTGGGATTCACGAGAGTGAGTTTATCGCATATAATGCGCTGCCTGGGAACAAAAGAGTTAGCAGACAGGACTGATGGACTGGTGGATGACTGACTGATTAACTGACCAATTGACCGACTTTGTGATCGTATCAGTGACCTAGTGGATTGCGTTGTTAATTTGTGATGACTGAACCACCGATCAGTTGGACGATTGACTGTCTGTCTGATTGACTGTTTAACCGATTGACTGACTTACTCGATGAGTAACCGAAATGTCTCCCGTTAAGGTGGGTTTTCAGTGGAAAAAGTCGGAAACTGTTGTGTGTGTGTGTGTGTGTATATATATATATATATATATATATATATATATATATATATATATATATATATATATATATATATATGTCAGTTGAGGGGGGGGGGGTTGAACCGCCGTGGACTACCGGCTAGACGCTCGCCTGTGGATCGGAAGGTCCTGGGTTCAGGTCCTAGGGGGGGGGGGGGAAGGATTTTTCTTCTTCAAAAATGACCTTGGCGCCCAGGTCAACCCAGCCTTGAGTGGGTACTAGGTAAGTCCTGGGAAGTAAAGGCGGCCGTCATGATGCTGACCACATCACCCACCAAGTGCCGTCAGTCTATAAAATATAGGTCTAGCCCTATATACCCAATACACCTGTAAGGCGTGGAAAAGGGTCCTTTACTTTACTATATATATATATTCATCATCATCATTATCATGATGTAGCAGGTCCTTTGCAGAACGTCGCTCTTATCAAAGTCTGCCTGAAAGAAACTCAGTCTCCCGCCTCATGTGCTTTCACACTCAAGGAGTCACTTATATCCTGTGCCCATCTTCGTGTCGGTCGGTCCCTGCCCCTCCTTCCTGGTACCATACCTTCTGCTATAATTTTTTTCCAATACGTCGTGGCGCTTGATATGACCAAAACATTTCAGCTTTCGAGAAAGGATGCTGTTTATTAGCCAGTTTTCCTAAGTATGTATATTTATATATGAAATGACTGACCAAAACCCGATATATTTTTTTTCTAGGCCTTACCGGCAACTTGCCCCCTGGGAAAGCTTTACATGTCAGCAGAAATCAACAGTAAATGCGGCTTTACTACGGAAGTCAACTCCACTCGTTGTGAGGGTACCATCTGGAGTAAGTTCTTATGATTCTCTTCACAACTACGTTATTTGTCTTCCTAATTTGTCATATGACTTGAAATAATAATTGTCATCATCTAGCCCAGTGACTCTCAACCTCCCTAATGCCGTGACCCTTTAATACAGTTCCTTCATGTTGTGGCGACCCTTTAATACAGTTCCTTCATGTTGTGGCGACCCTTTAATACAGTTCCTTCATGTTGTGGCGACCCTTTAATACAGTTCCTTCATGTTGTGGCGACCCTTTAATACAGTTCCTTCATGTTGTGGCGACCCTTTAATACAGTTCCTTCATGTTGTGGCGACCCTTTAATACAGTTCCTTCATGTTGTGGCGACCCCCAGTTATTTTCCTTCATAACGTCAACTAATATGTGTTTTCTGTTGGTTTTAGGTGACCCTTGTGAAAGGGTCGTTCGACCTAAAAAAAAAAAAAAGGGTTGAGAACCGTTGATATAGTCCTTCACCTAATGTCCGTGAACCATCAGTTTCTGATGACCACCTGGCGAATCCCCTCCATCGCCGTGGGTCAGATGTAACAGACTTTATGTTTGTATGTTTGAGGCCTGTCCATTTAGCTAAATTCAACCTTCGGATCGCGGGCCACATCTGGCCCTCGGAGGCGTAGCAAGTGGCCCGCGGATCATTGCCTGTTAGTGATTAGAAAGGATTATCAATGTGGCGCATCATCACAGCACTCCGGACAGACCCATAGGTGCTCCGATCTACTCCTCAAAAGCTCCACAAGTGTAAAACGACTGATGACGCCTGTTCTGTGTTGGTTAATGAAACGTCTTGTCCCCTTAGGGAAATGTTCATTTTTGCAGCGCCAGGCAGAAAGAAAAAAGAAAGAAAGAAAGAAAAAAGACAGACAGAAAGAGAAGAAAGAAAGAACAAAAGAAAGAAAGAAAGAAAGAAAGAAAGAAAGAAAGAAAGAAAGAAAGAAAGAAAGAAAGAAAGAAAGAAAGAAAGAAAGAAAGAAAGAAAGAAAGAAAGAAAGAAAGAAAGAAAGAAAGAAAAGAAAGAAAAAGAAAGAAAGAAAGAAAGAAGAAAGAAAGAAAAGAAAAGAAAAGAAAGAAAGAAAGAAAGAAAGAAAGAAAGAAAGAAGAAAGAAAGAAAGAAAGAAAGAAAGAAAGAGAGAGAGAAAGAAAGAAAGAAAGAAAGAAAGAAAGAAAGAAAGAAAGAAAGAAAGAAAGAAAGAAAGAAAGAAAGAAAGAAAGAAAGAAAAGAAAGAAAGAAAGAAAGAAGAAAGAAAAGAAGAAGAAAGAAAGAAAGAAAGAAGAGAAAAGAAGAAAGAAAGAAAAAGAAAGAAAAGAAAGAAAGAAAGAAAGAAAAGAAGAAAGAAGAAAGAAAGAAAGAAAGAAAGAAAGAAAGAAAGAAAGAAAGAAAGAAAGAAAGAAAGAAAGAAAGAAAGAAAGAAAGTTCAAAGATAAGGAAGATTGTAATGGAAAAAGTGGGGGAAGAAAGAAAGAAAGAAAGAAAGAAAGAAAGAAAGAAAGAAAGAAAGAAAGAAAGAAAGAAAGAAAGAAAGAAAGAAAGAAAGAAAGAAAGAAAGAAAGAAAGAAAGAAAGAAAGAAAGAAAGAAAGAAAGAAAGAATTAATGAAAGATAAACACAAAGAAGAAGAAGGGGAAAGAGAAGAATGAGGCAAGGAGCTACAGAGGAGGAAGAAGGAAAAATCTGTGTGATGGTCACTAAATGCCTCTTTACACGTCATTTGGGGCATCAAGCAAATGAGGCTGGACTCGATGAGCTGAGTTGATTTAAGAACCAACATCACAGCACTAGAAACATTCCCACAAGCGCTCCGTCGGAATCTTCAGCAGCCAGCGCAGAATGTCAATACAAATAGTGCCAGCATCATTCTAATTACACGTCCGTCTTGCCTTACCTCTGGGCGTCGAGTATCAACCAGAACCCCTCGTCAGTCCCCGCGCTATCACCCTGACCAGACTGTGGTAATCCTTGTGCTCTTCATAACTGTAGACGCATTCCCATACAGCCATAACCCGGTCTGCTTTATCACGCATCAATACTTTACCTAGCTGTGCTGGGCCAGCCTTGTTGAGTGATTTTTTCAACATCACGCCGGCCGCCTTTACTTTCCACAACTTTACCTGGTACCCAGTTAAGGCTTGTCGACCTTGGGAACCAAGGGCACGTATGAAATAAACAAGATCCGGTCCCCGTGTGGGTTCCGGGGCCCTATTGTAGGGAAAAACAAGAATAGACCCACTGCCTACCCAGAAGCATGTCGTAAGAGTCGACTAATTCAGAGCTTCCTTCAAAGTCGAAGTATATCTACCTGAGAGGCAAGGAACCAACGGTCTGTATACAGATGTGTCAGATCTTTTAAACGAATACACACGCAACACTCAGGCTCTGGATTAGGACTGCAGTCCAGAAGTGGACGAACAACCAAAACTTTCTACCAGAATTTACAGCTGGGGAACGCAAAAAAGAAGATATTGATTTGAACCCACGACCTTTAGACGAGCGTCTAGCCGCTACCCTACAGCAACTTCCAAAGTTAATCATTAACCGTTTCTGTAATTGTGCTGTTGCTACTCCTGCTCCACAGACTACATCCAGGAGATCTGTCGACACAATCCCTAAAGCAACACTGCCCCACTCTGGGGAGTGCGCCCACTACTTTGACTGCTCGGTGATTAATGGTGCCAGCGAGTACATGGAATACCTACTGGAGTGTCCCTACCCGTCGCTCTTCTCCACACACACTGGCACCTGTAAGGACTACAGACTTGTCTCCTGTGGGGAGAGATCCGAACCTCGGACACCGTGTACGTATAACTTACATGCATTGTAGACTGAACATTACCCAGCATGCCACAGCAACCCTCATCGCCGAATATTTAGATCTCAAAGCGCGAGCTGGGTGCTCCGGGTATATAGTATTTACGTACACCGGAGCCTAGCTGTCAACCCAAACCGACACAACCGGATCACACTATAACCATTGACGAATAAAATAACTGTGAAGCTACACCTAACATTTCACACACATATCCACGACATGACTAACACGTTCTTATTGCAGGAAGACAACTATAAGACCACTATGGTCACACGCGAAGTACTACCACATTTAGCATCTATCCAAACCCAAAAACTGTTTTCAGTTCTTTTTGGCGAAAAAAAAAAAAGTACTCAAAATTTTAAAACTATAAATGGAAGTCCAAAGGACGTTATGTATAGAAGCTCGCTCTCCTACAAAATAAGCCTGGCCAAATCATAGAGAGGTGAAATCAAGGAGGAAACACCTGGAAGATAAAGGCAAGAAGTACACAGTCAACAACAGGGTAGAGAACGAGCGGTTTGACTCGAAGAAAGAAAGCATCAAGCGCAGTGACGGCGCAAACACTAATACTTCAGTCACGAAAGTGACGCAGATAACCCAGACCACAAATATAGGCGGAGACTCTTAGCCTCGGCTTACAGTCAGAAAGTGGTCGAACTTTTCATTTTTTTTTTTTTTTCTCAAAAGTAATCGGAATCGGATTGAACATAGCGTAACTTGCAATAAAGAATGTAGATTTTGTGAAAAAATTACATTGTAGATGGAGTAATTCATAGGTATAACGTGCATAAAAAAATGTAGAACTTACACTAGATGGAACATAGCCTAACTTGCATTAAAGAACGTAGATTTTGTGTAAACCTACATTGTAGATGAAACGTACCTATACGTATAACGTCATGAAATAATGTAGAACTGACATTGTACATAGAGGAAATCATAGGTATAATGTGCGTGAAAGAATTTAGATCCTATGTAGACCTTACACTGTAGATGGAACAAAGCAAAAGAAGAAGAAGAAGAAGAAGAAGAAGAAGAAGAAGAAGAAGAAGAAGAAGAAGAAGAAGAAGAAGAAGAAGAAGAAGAAGAAGAAGAAGAAGAAGAAGAGAAGAAGAAGAAGAGAAGAAAAAAGAAGAAGAAGAAGAAGAAGAAGAAGAAGAAGAAGAAGAAGAAGAAGAAGAAGAAGAAGAAGAAGAAGAAGAAGAAGAAGAAGAAGAAGAAGAAGAAGAAGAAGAAGAAGAAGAAGAAAAAGAAGAAGAAGAAGAAGAAGAAGAAGAAGAAGAAGAAGAAAAAGAAGAAGAAGAAGAAAAGAAGATGAAGAAGAAGAAACAAACCTACATTGTAGATGAAACGTAGCTATACGTATAACGTCATGAAAAAATGTATTAATCAAGTAACAGAAAGTATTGTGAACGGCACTCATAGAAAGAAGTAGAAAGATAGAAGAAACACACTAGACAACATAAAAATCGAAAGCTAAAGTTACCGTGCCTGGAATTGAACCTGTCACCTCCAGACGGCGTCTGCGCCTCGCCATGAATACAAGTGCACTAAGATACATGGTCAACTCGGCACCCCCAAAAAAAGGTGTCTCATTGGCCATGTCTATCGTACAGCTTGAAATCACGACTATGGAATACGGACAGAATTCATTTCAACCCATTGAAATGGCACCATAGGTATACAGAAATTTATATTAACGAAGCAAATGTCGAATAACAATCACAGCAACAATTTACGAACACAGTAAGACCTTATTGCTTGTCTAGAATACACAAAACATTTAAGAAAGGTAATTTGATTGGTAGGTTCCTCGGTGTGTAACGTCATTCTATAAATAAACAGAAGGGGGGGAACCATTTGAGGCCGTTAAATTATTACTGAATTAATCAAGTAACAGAAAGTATTGTGAACGGCACTCATAGAAAGAAGTAGAAAGATAGAAGAAACACACTAGACAACATAAAAATCGAAAGCTATAGTTGAGGTGACAGGTTCAATTCCCGGCACGGTAACTATAGCTTTCGATTTTTATGTTGTCTAGTGTGTTTCTTCTATCTTTCTACTTCTTTCTATGAGTGCCGTTCACAATACTTTCTGTTACTTGATTAATTCATAATATTTAACGGCCTCAAATGGTTCCCCCCTCTGTTTATTTATATGAAAGAATGTAGAACTGACATTGTACATAGAGGAAATCATAGGTATAATGTGCGTGAAAGAATTTAGATCCTATGTAGACCTTACACTGTAGATGGAACAAAGCAAAAGAATAAGAAGAAGAAGAAGAAGATGAAAGAAAGAAATGAAAACAAACGAACAAATAAGGAAAAGAATAAACAGAGGGAAAGAAAGAAGTAACGATGAGGAAAACGACAAGAAGAAGAACACGGTAAGAAAAATGTTATCAACAGCTTATTTTCATGAAATGCAACAACAATGCCTGAATCTAAATTGCCCCAGTATACAACCAGGTCACATATTTGGTTTTTCAGGTGAGTACCATCATTATCTGCAGAAGTACAACTGTTCGGACCCGGGTTGTGCAGCTTGTGATTACCATCACCCCAGCTGTGTGGGACTAGCCAACGGGAACCACCCTGTTCCTAACATGGATGATGTCCTGATCGCCTGCTATGAGCAACGAACGATGAGTATTATACCAGTCCCACCAAAGAAAGCAAGTCTCGGAACACTTTTCAAACCAGCTGTCGGTAGTTCTGGCACAGCGGTAAAACTGGCGGCAGAAATTCTTGACACAAATGTCGAACCCATTCCTGGCACAAGAGTCAAACCTGCTGGAGAAAGGCCTGACCCAAGTGTCAAGTCTGCATTAGATATGCTTGGCGCAAATTTCAAACTTGCTGCAGAAAAAGCTGGCCCAAATGTCAAACCTGCTGCAGAAAGAGCTGGCCCAAATGTCAAACCTGCTGCAGAAAGAGCTGGCCCAAATGTCAAACCTGCTGCAGAAATGGCTGGCCCAAATGTCAAACCTGCTGCAGAAAGAGCATATCCAAATGTCAAACCTGCTGCAGAAAGGGCTGATCCAAATGTCAAACCTGCTGCAGAAAGAGCTGGCCCAAATGTCAAACCTGCTGCAGAAAGAGCTTATCCAAATGTCAAACCTGCTGCAGAAAGAGCTGATCCAAATGTCAAACCTGCTGCAGAAAGAGCTTATCCAAATGTCAAACTTGCTGCAGAAAGGGCTGATCCAAATGTCAAACCTGCTGCAGAAAGGGCTGATCCAAATGTCAAACCTGCTGAAGAAAGAGCTTATCCAAATGTCAAACTTGCTGCAGAAAGGGCTGATCCAAATGTCAGGGCTGGTTCAAATGTCAAACCTGCTGCAGATAGGTCTGGTCCAGGTGTCAAACCTGCTACAGAAAGGGCTGATCCAAATGTCAAACCTGTTGTAAACATGCCTCGCCCAAATGTCAAACCGGCTGCAGAAAAGGCTGGCCTAAATGTTAAACCTGCTGCAGAAAGGGCTGATCTAAATGTCAAACCTGCTGCAGAAAATCCTGCTATGGATGTCAAAATTGCTGCGGACAGTCCTGGAACAACTGTCAAACCAGTTGCAGTAAGTCTTGAGAAAACTGCTAAACGACTTGCAGAAAGACATAGTTCCGATGTAATTTCAGCAATGATAAAACCTCCAAATGTAAAACCTGCATTTCCCAGTGCTAATAAAGGTGTATCGCTAGAAGGTCCTAGCTCGGTTGGGAAAGAAACTGCAAGTCCCAGTTCTAGCGTGACAAAAATAGACAACCTTGAATTAAGCGACAAGCCATCGAGTACTAGTTCGACTGATAAAGCAGTAATCAAAATTCCCAAATCACTTGTGCAGCAGAAAAGTCCTAGCTCCAGCGTTGAACAAAATCATCGAGCCATTACTGGTCTACTTAAAAACCCTACTTTAACGTTGCTGTTAAGCCGGTAGCAACAACAATTTCTAACTTGAAAATAGAACCAGCAACAAGGCCTATAGTACGGTTCAAAAGCAGTGCTTTCACACTTTGAAAAAGCTCTTGAAAACTCCTGTATGGATGAACATGAATTTTTGCATGTGACGTTAGATTTCCCAGGTCCTTACGATTTTAGACTTCATAATTGCACAGGTGGTATTGTTTTCTTAAAGTAGTGAATTTATTTGATCTTTTTTGACAAATAATTTATATACCCCTAAAAAATACGCATGGAGATTTTTTGAAAATCAGTGAACACGTGCAGCAGTGCGTGTGGATTATTTTGATGGCCTATCCCGCATACAATTAAAAATCTGCACATCGCTGGAGATTATTTCTGGAGATGACCAAGAGTAGAACGCCTATGACACCCGTGTAATCTGATGTTTTGAAATGTTCCCGTTACCCAAAAACCTGTGATGGTATTAATTGTTTGTTTTGAATCAGTAATTTTTATTTTTTTTTTTTATTTTTTTTTCTTACCGCAAATAACACGATAAAAACTTCATGTTTGTTTATAATTTTTTTTTTAATCCTACAAGGATATGATAATTAACAGGTTGCATATTAAATTTCAACAATATTTATCGAACGGTTACCGGGTCGCATATTTTTATAATTGAGCAAGATTTCTGGACCGGACTATAGCTCGGGGAAAAAACCCATTAACAGCGAGTCCTAGCTGGAGTTTACAGTCAACAGAAACACATCATGGCTGGATTTATTAGATCATCAGTTATAGGTCCTAATTCGAATACAAACAGATAAACAAGTCATAATTCCAATATAGACCAGTCAACAAGTCCTAACTCGAATGAAGACCCAGCAACCAGTCCTGACTCGAATGGAGACCCAGCAACCAGTTCTGACTCGAATATAGACCCAGCAACCAGTCCTGACTCGAATATAGACCCAGCAACCAGTTCTGACTCGAATATAGACCCAGCAACCAGTCCTGACTCGAATATAGACCCAGCAACCAGTCCTAACTCGAATAAAGACCCAGCAACCAGTCCTGACTCGAATGGAGACCCAGCAACCAGTTCTGACTCGAATATAGACCCAGCAACCAGTTCTGACTCGAATGAAGACCCAGCAACCAGTTCTGACTCGAATATAGACCCAGCAACCAGTCCTGACTCGAATATAATCCCAGAAACCAGTTCTGACTCGAATGAAGACGCAGCAACCAGTTCTGACTCGAATATAGACCCAGCAACAAGTCTTATTTTGAAAATAGACACAGCAACAAGTCTTAATTCGAATATAGACACAGCAATAAGTCCTAATTCGAATATAGATACGGCGACAAGTCCCGACTCTAATATAGGCACAGCAACAAGTTATGACTCGAATATTCACCCAGCAACAAGTCCCAACTCGAAAACAGACGCAACATCAAGTCCTAACTCGAATAGAGACCCAACACCAACAGGCCCTAGCTGTGATGTACGAGATTTATGTTCGTAGATTTTATAGCGCCAACAGCCAGAAGTCCTAGCTCAAATTTCGAAGTAACAACATCAAGTCTTAGCTATAAAAAAAAAAAATTCCTAGCTCGACTATTAGATATAGGGCATCAGTAACGCCATTTTGTCCTGTAGTCAGACTAACAAGACTAATTCCTGGTTCAAGGAATTAACAAGCCATGTTTCGATTGTCAAACAGAGGACCGGAAATCCAGTTCTACTGCATCAGCTAAGTTGTCACAGCAACAGTTGTTCTGCGCATCACAGTACAGAAATGCCTACCTGTGGAGACTTCAATGACGTGTCTGAATGGATACATCTTTGTTTACCGTGTCAGTTTCGTATGTGGACTGAACTGGTTTGCAAGAAAACCTATTTGAATCACGGTGACGCAGAGGAAATGAGTAGAATATATCGGTGTTTTCGGAAGCGAACAGGCAGATAGACTGGCTGGCTCTGCAAAACTTGGTGGTGAATTGATGCATTACAAGCTACATGTTGTAAGGGCCCTTTGGGGGCGAGTGAACAATGCGGAGCGACAGAAGATGGATCATCACGGTCTGAGGAGAATGGTGCTCATGGAGTGATCAGGGTATCTAGCCAACGTTCAACGCTCGGAAGTGAGGTGAGACGGATATACAATCAGACAGTTACTACTGCCATCAGAATTGGAAGACTGCAGCTGCTGTTGAAGATGGCGACGGAGCGCTTATGTCTTGAGTGCTGTGATGTTGACTCTCGATTCAACATTCCATTCCGGATTTTTAGTTGCTTTATTCTCTTGGAGTCGTTAATCCCACAGATTGCGATCCTAACTCTGTGTCGCCTTTTCCACACTGTTAGATCCACATTGGAAAAACCGTAGTCCAGCAGGTTCTTCAAGTTCTGTGATTTCTTCTACTACAACAAAGTCAGAATAAAACATTCAGAATATACTTAACTTTGGGTTGTTGTTTTGTGTGTGAGTGTGTGTGTGAACCTGTTTAGATTTTATTGTTTCAATTCCTCATCTTCTTCTTTGGCTCACTGGCTGTAAACTCCGGTAAAAAGTTCTGGCTGTTAGTCCATCTGGCTCATTTGCATGCAGACTGTTGGCTCCAGGCCTCTCACAGAAATTCACTTCAGCTGGGAAGAAATCTCCCAGCATGACGATGGAGGTGATGGCAGTGACGCAAACGTTCGCCTGGCTTGAAACACAAAACTACACCCTCGTATGTAAACTCAGGGATTCAGTGAGTATGATCCGGAGGGTTCAGGCAGGTTCGGTGCGAAGACGATGGCTTGAAGCATTACAGAAGTTCACTGTGCGTGGAGTCACCTTTATCTTTGTTCAGGAAATCGCAGGCGTCGATGGAAATGAAAGAGCTGATAGGTTGGCTGGATCCGCTATCACTACCGACGGTCAGCCTATGGATCATGCTGATATTATTAATGCCCTAAGAGAAATAGGAAGAATATAGGACTTTGGGGACAGCCAGAATGGCAGACTTGGGAATTAAGATCGGCATAGCAAAAAAAAAAAAACGAGACGCACCAGAAGACTTGTTAATCAACATAAAACTGGTACTATCAGCCATGGACGTTGGGGTTCATACTGAGGGGAGGATCTGAGCACCTATGGACATGTCCGGAGTGCAATGATGATAACTAACTAACTAACTAACCAACTAAGAAATCTCCCCAAATTAGTCGTCTTCTGCAACGTGCCTGTTGGGGAGGCAGTGAGTCTATTCTCTCCCGACCCATCCTCCCATCTCCCCCACAAGGACCCCGCCGACCCCACATGCAGAGTGGGTGTATTACAATGAGGTTTTGAACAATGGATAAACATCATGGCACAAAGGTGGTAACCCATAAGTGCTCTGTTTATCTTCTAACTCAAGTCTGAGTCCGAAAAAGCTCAGCACTTACAGGCTCTGTAGCACCGGCGAGGATCCTGAAATACTTTGGGTAGAATTTTAACTCAGAATTGTGCCCGGGCAGCGCCTTCAGGCTACTAATTTCGATTTCCAACTGCCAAAGGATTTTCTTCGTGCGCAAAATTGCAAACGGTCGTCCAAACTCACTATCCATAAGTTAGTTGTGTATCCTTTACAGGACGTTGCAGAACCAACCCCATCAGCCCCTGGCTGTTGTGTGGTTTCAGTAGGCAAATTTACGTCCAGTAGTTTGCCATTGCTCACTGGACGGTCGGCCCCCTGATACCACTGTCGAAACCAACGCAAGGCGCAGGCCCGCAACTGGGATCGA